GGAACTGACATGAACCATGCCCTTCTGTCACATGTTATTCAAGAGCAATTTACAAGGACAACTTTCTTCCGCCCACTTCTAAAAAAAGGAGCTTATTTTTTAGGAAAGGAGTCAGCACTAGAGGGACCCTCCTAAGCAGGTTGACCTATGGAAGACATATTTGGACACATCTTGACGAAATTAAAAAGGTATCCTTCTATGACATCAACATCATTCATTTTAAGCAATCAGAAAAGGTGACGATGACCTAGTGTATAGAAATCCCCGGCCAATGATATCTCTTCAAATAGAGTGATAACATGTTCCACTAGGTTTGGACACAGTAGCTTGACAAGATTAGGGTGGTAAGCTATAGTCTCAAGGACTATATAAAAGGGTAAAAGTCCAACAAAATGAGCTAAAATTAAGTCAATTCTATGTAATACTTACTATTAAGCAAACTTTCAATTTTGACTTATTTACAAAAATTTCAACAAACAAAACTGATATTTGGTCAGAGATTCCCTTTCATTGATCTAGAATTATTACTTCATTTTGGTCATCACTGCAGAGAGTGACAAATACCTACATTTTCCCTTTCATATAATTTACTGTAAGCCACTAGCCATAGCAAAGAAACTGTCACATGCGCTCTACTTTAATAAATTTGTTAAATATTAATTGGTCATTGGACATTGAAGATTTGTTACAACAATAATGCTACATAGCCACATTCTTTGACACAAAGAATGATAAATGAGGTGGAAAATGGTTTTTAAAAAAAAGAGAGAAAGGAAATGGAAATGGAGCAGGCACCAATTTTGTGGGAAATTTGAAATTTTTAAAACAATTTGCTTTGACCCGGCCTGGAATTTAAACCCATTTCTCAGTTAAAACCCATTCACAATGCTCAGCCCATTTCATTTTCTCATTTTCACTTCGAATGAAAACCTGTTTCTAGGCATTTGGAACTCTTCGTCCCTGTCTTTGGCGTAAATCTTACTTTGCGGCTGTTGAATTGGAACCAATTACCTGAGAGCTTAGGTGAAACGCCGTCAAAAACCATGGTTTCAATGCTGTCGACATACTCAATGTTTCAGTTCTAAGATGGTCAGGCACTTCTCGTTGAATCGTAGTTGCTACCGGAAATCGTCTTCGACCACATCTAGAGAAAGCTCAGTTATATAAGTATCAAGTTCATGTTTCAATAAATTTGTTGAAATACCTTATGTACCGCTCTGTTTTGTTTAATTTTGTCCGAAACGATGAAGAAGTGGCCCATCCGTAACCCTAAATTTCAGAGCATTCGTTCAGGGTTTTGTTGTTAAATGCCAATTTCTCTGCAGTGATATGAATTAGATAACTTTTAGCGACATAATAATCAGTCTCTAATACCAGATTATAATGCAGACATTGTTTAGATCCTTCTGTATACTCGCTAGCTTGGTGGTTTTTGAATTTAGGTCTTTCTGATAGAATATTTGAGTTGTTTCTCTCAATTGCTAAGTAAATAGTATATAGGCGGAGGCGAATATAATTACTTTTTGGGAAAATGAATCATTTCTCTAATTGGCCTCAACATTTTACTGTAAAGCTTGATCAGAGACAACTCATAAAAATCGTTCGCCTCTCTCAACTTCATCCCATTACCTGTGTTTCTTATAATATGAATTTTGGGAACCATCTATTTAGTATGGGTAAACTAACTATAGAATATAGTTGAAGAGAATCAGTGAAGTAGTGAAATTCAGTTGGGGTGATGCAAAATAAAAACTACTACAACGTCCATGTTACTCAATCTTTTGAATTATTCTTATGCTGGCTTTTGAGTCATCTGACTAACTTAATTGATACAATGCCATCTTTGTGAGAAATTCCAGCCTTTGAACATAAGTATACCTATAAGACTTGTTAAAATCAAACCATATGTTTCCTGCCGACAGAGAGATTAGTTTATTTGCTTCTGTTAATTCATTTCAGTCTGCAATTATCATTTTGTTTGGAGTTTGAATCCTAGGTTAAAATGAGAGGGAAGAATTATGGAGTATGCCATAGTTGTAGATTGAAGGGACATTTTTTCGCGGAATGCCCGAATAAACAACCTTGCCCATGGTGTAAACATGCATTTTTGAAGTGCTTCGAGGTTGAGAAGAACACTGACAAGAAAGGCAAACTATTCGAAACGTGCAGCGTGAAACGTGGTTATTGGGAGTGGGTGGAAAAGAAGGAAACGGGTGCTGAATCGAGTTCAGTCACCAGCACTCAGGATTTGTCTTGCATGTTCGAAACACGATGCCGGTTAACTGGTGATCAAGACATGGAGATTGCTATGAACATGACTATACGCAAACGAGGAGAGCACGTCACCAAATGGGAGAAGTATGGATAGTCGTCGACCTGAGCTGAAGTTTATTCGTTTCGAATGAAATTGTAACTCCAACTATGTAAATGAAATTGTCTAGGCTGTAATGGGACTAGTTTTCCAATGTTGTTCACTTGAATCTATTATGTTGTGTGAACCATGTTTAATTGCATTTTGGCATTTTGTTGTTCAATTGCATTTTGTGCATTTTTAGCAATTTCAATACCTATGTATATTACTCTGTCGAGATAGTTTCAAGAAGACAAGAATTTAATTAAAATAGGATGTGTTATGTAGCGTCAAGATTGGATGTATAGTCTCTCCATTGTTTCTCCATGTGGGACAATGTTTTCAGCTTCCCCAGGTCTGGAGGCATGTTACCACGAAGTCTATTTCCTACCAGACGAATGAATTCAAGGTTCTTGAATGAACCATATTCTAATGGGATTGGTCCACTGAAGTAACTCCTAGCAAAATTCAATACCTTGAGGGACTGAATTTCAGATATATCGGCCGGTAAAGGTCTTGAAAAGCTCTTGCTGAATGCATCAAGAACAACCAAATTCTGGAATTTGGAAACCCCACTTGGAAAATGGCCTGAAAAATTGATCCTGCTGATATCAAGGGATTTTAGATTGATAAGGCTAGAAATTCCAGCAGGGATTTTAGATTGGCAAGGCTAAAAATCTTGACTGCATTTCACTCCGGTCCATGAACACGCAAGAATTTTCCCTAAAGAGTTCACTCCAGAAGGCATGATCCAGTCATTTAAACTATTGGAATCATCAATAATCTCAGATTCGAAGCTCAAAAGTGTACCAGAAAGAGGATCAAAAGCCAAAACTGTCACAATAAACATCGAAGAAACTGCAAAAATAGTTAAATAATACAAGACATCTGGTGATTGAGACTCCTTTCTAGCATGATTTCGCAATCAAAATCCTACCTCCTACTATTAGTCGGTGAACTTAAGACAAAGTAAAAACCAAACAGATGATACATTTGCCAATTTGAAGATACAAGCTAGATAGATTTCTTCATAATTTTAGTCCTGTATGTTGGTGGAGATACAAGATAGATAGATTTCTTCATAATTCATACAAACCCATGCAAGTACACAATGACGAGTAAACTACAAACTATTGAAATGCAACCAATAAACTATACAAAACAAGCCAGTAGGTGCATCTTCTGGGTTTGATAATGTCATAGACGGTTCAACTTCCGTAGGTACTTCCGTGTTTCTTCCATCGAAATGCATTCCCAAACCTACGAATGTCAAATCCACATAAGGTAGTTTATTAGATGTGAATCAATATACATAATGAACAATGTTTGCAAAGCACTAAGTTGTACATAACAACTTATTCACCCTGCATATTTAATGTATGAGTTGTTGCCGATGAAGGGTTTAGACACGTGGATTGCAAGTGTTGTGTGAACTGAAGATTTTGGTTCCCACCCTGCGCGAAATAGCATTATCAATAAATAGTACATTATCATTGAAATCAAATGATTAACAAATGCTAACCAGAAGGAGGTTCGTATAGGAGAACGGCAGCGGCACGTGCAGTTACTGAGGTGGCTGGACAATGGGCGCTACAACCATTCCCATATCACTTCTAGGAACCTTCGTTTTCTTCCATTTGGTAGAACCCGTACTTGCCTGTAAAACAAGGAATGTTGTTAAACATTATCTCTATAGTGAGTTCGCAACAACTGGAAATAGGCAACATTTGAGTATTACCTTAACTTTGCTTGAAATGGTTTCCAATGGGCTCTTCTTCCAAAGTTTCTTCGGGGCACCTTTTCTTTTCACACATTCTGGATCCCTTATATTACCACTTCCAGTATCCTGCGGTGCTCCACATTCGAATGATGTCTGAGTCGTATGCCGGGAGAGGACATTACTATTACTATGATTTGTTTCCATCATCTCTTGACATTGACTGTCAATCCAATCAATTATTGCATCAGATTTCGCGTCATCTTCTGCTGTCAGATCGGCCAATGTAGTAAAGCGTTGACACATTTTGTCGTACTTCAGTTGCGCTGGCGTACTAATCAAACCATCATAGTTCACTGGTACCCTCGAGTGGGCCTTACTCACATCTCGTCGCCATCTCCGTAATATATATCTTTCGGGTATAGATTTCACGTCATTACGGACCAATACTGCGATCATATGTCTGCAAATAATCCCTCGAAACTCAAAGTTGTGGCAACTGCAACTGATTTCACATTTATCTCTTTGAAATGTGACAAAAAAGCTTTTTTCCTTCGAATGCTCGTCATGTATTACATCTTCCCGTACCTCGTACGTTGCCCTCGATACTCCGTCAGAGAAAGAAACAAGGTCGCAATACATTTTACCTGTGAACTCCTCTTGAACTTCCATAAATTTTGAAATTGTGTAAACTACTTGAAATTGCTTCTCAATTTCATATCTCGATGCCCACGGTACCATTTGCGAGAAGGACTTGAAGTCAGCTTGAAACTCCTTCTCAACCTTATTTCTCAGTGCTTGTTCATATTGTTCAACAAATTGCTTCAACCTCGTCTTTGAATGTACATAACCATCGAAGAATGCATGCATACTCTCACTGCGTTGAGTAGTTGACATCCCTGCCCAAAAAGTGGTTTTTAGATAGCAAGGTACCTAACGTTCTCTGTTCTCGTACAAACCCACCAACCACTCATTATCATACAAGTGAAACCTTTCGACCATCACTCTCCAGCCATTTTCGAATTCTTCTACAAACTGACAATCGTAGACCAAACTGTGTATAATAGTGAATATAGACCCTTTATCCACATGGTATCCGAATTTCTCAGGCAACTTCTTCAATATGTGCCACAAACACCATTTATGCTTTGTATTGGGAAACACATTCTGGATTGCATTTGGCATAGCCCTGTCCTGATCCGTAACTATCCCATGCGGAGCCTGTCCATGCATGCATTGCAACCAGGTTCGAAAAAGCCAGACAAATGTCTCTGTTTCCTCATTCAAGACCAGACCACATCCAAGGAGTGTTGATTGTCCATGGTGGTTCACTCCAACAAAAGGAGCAAATGGCATATCGTACTTATTAGTGAGGTATGTGGTGTCAAATGTGACAACATCTCCGAACTCCTTATATGTTTGCCTACTCCTATAGTCTGCCCAAAAAACATTCTTTAGATGCAAATCATCATCCAGATATATACTAAAGTAAAAACCCAAGCACTATGCCTGCATTTTAGAGAAGTATAATTGTAGTGCTGATGCGTCCCCTTGTCCAAGTCTTAAAGGCCTAACTTTCTCAACATAGTTACGGCAATCCTTCTCGATGTAACTCAAATTCTCATACCCACCCACTTCAAAAACTGTAGAGTTGAAGCTCGTGTAATGGAATTCCTGTCATATCATTCACTTCGAGTCTTCGTTTAACATGTGCACTCAACTCTCGGTTGCATCGATATAGCCTAGACTTCGAAAGGCTTGTCTTATGATTGTGGTTTAGATGTACCTTGTTAATCTTCCATATTCCACAAACATCTTTGGATGCGCAGATCCTGGCTTTACATCCACTCTGCATAGTTGCTTGCGGTTTCAAAGAACCGCTTGTATTTTTTATTCTTTTCCCTTCACGGCTACAAACAAATATAACATTTCTCAATACTCCGTCATCATCCTTTACTGAATTTCGTTTCCTAACCGAGAAACCAATTTCGTATGCATATCTTTTGTACAGATCGAAAATTTCATTTTCATCCTTAAATTTCATACCCGGCTCGGGCACAATCACACCATCTCCAACTAACGTATCATCACCCGCTATGTTCATAATATCCACAACATCCTTATTATCGGACTCCAACGGTACAATTTCATCCACATATTCCAAAATTTCATTCCCTTCATCAAAAAAAATATAATGGTTCAAATCGAAACGAAAAGAAGCAAAAAATGAAGGAATGAATATTAAAAGAGAAGGATGTTAAAACCAACAAATTACTTGCGATATTACAGTGCAAAGAGTTAACATTTGAAATTGTTGGAGGAATGGATTTCTCACCTGGAGAAAAATATTTCTTTTCTTTATTCTTGAATCATTGCAAACAAATGATTTGATTTTGAGCCAACGAAATCTATTTTGAAAATTTAAGTCTTCTTACCAATTATTTTGTAAAAATAAAACTGAATTTGCCTGTCATAGCTTAGCATGCTGGCATTTAATTTGGGAATAACCTTGACATAAAGTCAACTAAATTGAATAAAAGTATTCAAATACAACTGCAAGTAACTAAACGGAGAAATTAAAACCACAAAGTAGATACTAAAAATTGGGAAATAACAAGTGATAATACAAAATACTGACTTTTTTAATGAAAATATTTTTGGTCATGTGATAATGTTTAGCTCACATTCTTACGATCCTCTTAATTACGTCTGTTGAAATAAGAAAAGTATAGAGAGAAAAAGAGAGAAAATCACATTACAAATCCCCTGATTCCAAACGGTAAAGAAGGAAAGCAATACCTTTTTCGGTCATCTCTCGGCAAAAAAACACCCCAATCGTCTACTTGTGGAGTCTTTTCCCAATGCCAACCTTCTTCATTCAATTTAGTAGATGTAGACGACGCAATCAACAAGTTAGAAATTTGAATTTACAAAATATGCATAATAAGCGTCTTATTAACCTGAAATATTAATCAAATACCTATTGATTAAGATTCTTCAACAACGACGAAATGGGTTTCTCTACCAGCCACTGTAATCTCTTTCAGCCACTGTAGTTCGGTTTCTCTTCCAGCCATAATAGGTATTTCTCATGCGTCATGTACAGGAGAGAAAGAATGCAGTTGGATCTAGTAACAAGATCGCGTCATTGCAGTCGGCAGAGGTCTAAAGATTTACGCCAAAGACGAGGACGAAGAGTTCCAAATGCCTAGAAACGGGTTTTCATTTGAAGTGAAAATGAGAAAATGAAATGGGCTGAATGTTGTGAACGGGTTTTAACAGAGAAACGGGTTTAAATTCCGGGCCGGGTCGAAGCAAATGGTTTCCGGAAATTTCAAATTTCCCACAAAACTGGTGCGTGCGCCATTTCCATTTCCATTTCCTTTCTCTCTTTTTTTTTTTTTAAATCATTTTCCACCTCATTGTGTCATTCTTTGTTTCAAAGAATGTGGCTATGTAGCATTATTGTTGTTACAATATCAATTGGCTTATTTTTAGGCGCATGTACGCTGCCATATGCTTGATTAGCTTTAGGGAAATTTTATATGAAGCCTAGTTTTTGCAAATGAGAATCGGGGATTGGAATTATTGACAAAAAAACTAAAATGAAAATCTGGGTGTGCTTTACATGTCCATTTGTGTTGTGGCACTTGTAAAGGTCTCTTGGGATGTACAGTCTTCTATTCCTAGCATGTATTGACAAATTTCGTTTCTTCTATTCCTGTTTTTGGGAATTTGTTGACACTTTTTGGATACTTTGAAATAAATTTTATTTTTGAACACAAAACATGGTTCCTTTTGAATTTCAGATTTCCTAATCGGAGGAATGCACATTGGTGGCTGTTGTTATTTGACTCGTAATTTTTGAGAAACCATGCACTAATTGTTCACAGAATACTGTTGGGCAACACATAATTGGCCATCTACAGGATTTGTTTGGGGGCTTCTCGAACATGGCCTAGTGGCCATGTTTGTGGGGGTTCTCGAACATGATTTAGCCTCCATTGTGCTTTAATTGTTTTTTAATTCTCTTTAAAGTGGTAATTATATAAAGATAAGCTAGTTTATGGGTTTATATTATGTAGAAAATTGAATGTGAAATTTAAGGATGGTGCAATTACTTGTCTTAATCGCATGCATATTATGTTAAATCCATTGTTCTATTTGTAAGTGTTATGCCATAAGTCCAGTCAACCTTGGGCATAAAGAGTTTTAATATACAATTAATGCAATTTTATGGCTAATCTATTATTTAATTTATTTGAAATTAAATAATAGAGTCTGTAGATTCAAATTTTGATAATTTGTTAATAAAAAAGAATTGTGATTGTGAGATACAAATTACATATGATTAAATTTTAAATCGTCCGTAGTCATAAGTAATGATGAGATACGGATATTGTTATTACGGATAGACCATCACGTGTGACATTTCTTACTTCTGAAGTAAGTAACTGATCTCACAAGTTAAAGTGTGATGACAATTGAATGACACGTGAATGTTTTGTTATAGAACAAAACATTGGAGACTCGTCGAGAGATTCCACATGAATAACTGTTTGAGTGTCAGAGGTTAATCTCCAACATTCAGCAGTGAAGTTGGTCTTTTGACTTGATGTCGGGACATTCATGTTTTGACGGTGTTGAATGTTGCTCTATCAAGGGCCGCTAATACAACATCGTTCGGGTATTTCAATAATGGTACGAAGGTTGTGAATGACCAAAAGAGGATTCGTCACTCTCAGATAATAAAAAATTATGATCTGCATTTCATTCAATTAAGTCGATAACGAAATCATTGACCAAAGTGTACTCATAAGTCGAAAAGAAATTTTCGAGTTATATTGACTTAATAGTGGAGTGAAAGATATGATCGATAATCGAGATTGACACACTTTCCTATCTCATAATTGATCGGATCATATTAACGAAAGGAATATAATTTTATGATAAACGAACGAGTTTGATTTTGTCATACCACATGACATTTTCCGTCACATGTATTGCCTGACACATTGCTACATGTCAATTTGGGACGGTGAGTGTGAATTAGTGATAATTAAAATGGTGTTTTAATTTATCAATTTTTATTAGATCAAAATAATATTTCACGTCGTTAGACATCGTGATCGGGAACCTGATAGGTCAAACACGAAAGGAGAATTGAAAGATTGTGATTTGTCGATTAATTAATTTAACAAGTGTTGGATAAATTAATTAATTAGATTGCTTAATTATAGGCCTAAATTAATTAATTAATTCACGGACCGAATTTAATTAAATGAGTTAATTAAATATTGGACAGGGCCAGGCCAAGCCGATTCGGGCTTATATAAATATGACTAGGATTTCAATATCTAGAGAGAATTCATTATTCTTGCTAGCACAAGAGGAGAAAACCCTAATCATTCAATCTTGTTTTCTGTGTGGATTATCGTTGGAGGCTGGACAATTGTACAGTTGTGAGTGATAGATCGAAGTTGCTGGATCAAGAAGAAAAGTAAAAGGTTCGCAGAATTTTCAAAGGTACAATTTTCTATCACAGTTTCTATCTAAACACAGAAGTCCTTGGTGGGAATCGAAATTTGTTTTAATTTTCGCTGTGCATGTTTAAGCAAATTTCCAACACTATTTAAATTGGCCACTATAATCAATTAAATCATGTCATTACAGTATTGAAATTTTTAAGCATGTTGTAACTTTGTTTGTTATCTAAGCCATATTCTAAATTTTCTAGAATTCCATGGATTTTGAACATTGTTCATTAACTATATATGTGAAATTGACACTTGATTATTTGGCCATTCATATTTTGTGAGAATGTGACAATTGAGAGTGTTATGTACTCACCTTTCGTGGGTCTAAACGTGTTCAATTGTTAAATCTCATTTTTGTAAGCATTTGGTTTGTAATTGATGTAACAAGTTTATGTACTCACCTTTGTAAGCATTTGGTTTGTTATGTACTCACCTTTGAATATCACTTTTTTCCTCCACCCTCGAGATTAACTACCCTTTTCCACATTAATAATAGCCTTAGATGTTGCAAAGAAGGGTCATTCCAAAATCATCGTCAAACATGTTGAATTGTTAATTCTCATATTTGCAATCATTTGGTTTGGTAATTGATATCACAAATTTTAATAATATTGATTAGCTAAAAGGTAACAATAAAAAATCTAAGCATGTTTCATTATTAATTCAACATTGTTATTTCATTCGCATGGGAACAAAATTTTAATGAGGTACATACAGGTAACTATGTTTATACTATCTATAATTCGTTGCATGGTAGGATGGTTTAAATGGGGAAGAAGGTTTGTTGAATATCATTGATTGTAGAGATTCTACTACCATATCAGTGGGGGGATTTATTTATTACATATTTGTGTTAAACGAATTGTTCTTAACTACAAAAGAGCCCCATCTTGTTTGATGGACTCTCAGATGCAATATCATAGGAGATAAGTAATAATATAGTTTTCGATTTTTTATCGTATTTTATGAAACCATATACAAAGGGGTTATGCGATGTAATCAAGACAACATTTGATAGTGAATAAACATTGATATTCTCTCACAATTTCTCCCTTCTTCTCTCCCTCTTCTTTTCTTCCTTCCCTTTCCCCTTCTACCATAATTCTTCCATTACATCATGTGTCAATTTGGTGCAATATCATCAGAGATATTTAATTATTTAGTTTCCGATTTTTTATTCCTATTTTATAAAACATAATTAGATTATGATTTAATAACTTGTATAGCATTTCTTTACATAAGGCAACAATTTTTTTAGTCTGAGGAGCCATTTTTTTGCTGTTAGTTGGGTAGTAAGTGGGCCCCAGTGTGGCTCCAACAGGCCAGCAACGATCCAATTTTTCACTTTTATCTTAATTAAAATTTCTTCCAAATAAGGGATTAGTCATGATTTTATGAAAACCCTATATAAAGGAAGTTATGCGATGTAATCAAAACAACATTTGATAATGAATAAACATTGATATTCTCCCTCAATTTCTCTCTTCTCTCTCCCTCTTTTCTCTTCTTTTCTTCCCTTTCCCCTTCTACCATAATTCTTCCATTACATCCTACGCTAATTTGCCTTTGATCAACAAATCCAACTTCCAGCTCGCAGCCATAACCATACACCTAAATATATACAAAATCTGTCGCCAAACCTTACAGCAGCGCCTAAACAAGCAGAATTTGTTTCAATGGAAGCATTCCTTTTTTGCCCTTTTTCTAGTTAGTTGAAAAAAGAAAAAAATTAATTATTTCATCTGTCGTGTAGTTACTGTTTCTATTTCCAAGAAAAAAACAGACACAATCCATAAATTCAGGCAACACTATACCCACACACAATACAATTATATAAATAGGCCTATTGTAGCCCTCGGGGCATAGTCTAGTGGTGCAAAGGATAGGAGTGATGTCATCTCACGTCTTGCTGGCAGCCGCAGTGTGGGGGTTTGATTCCTGAGATATGGAATTGGACTCCTTGTAGGCGCAGTGTACAGACAGCTTTTGTTTTCTAGCTTGCTGGGGCACATCCCGTGATTTACCTCCTTCACAAAACTCTAGGGGCGGGACGGGACAGGGCGGGGCGGGGAGGTGGGGACCCTCAAGGTTGGGGTTCAACCTTTTTTTTTTATTTTTATTTTTTTTTATAAATAGGCTTATTGATTGTATATATAGTCAATCCAAGAAACCTTTCACTCAAGCCCAAATTAATTACCCACATAAGCTACCCGACCCACTATCCCAACCCACTACCCAAAATATAACCTAACCCAAGCCGGTTTAATTAGGGATGGCAACGGAGCAGGTTGAGATCGGGGTAACCTCCCTAGCTTCTCGCCCCATACTTGCCCCATTACCTGTTTAGGGTAGGGCGGGACAGGTTGGGGCACTTGCCCCACTTACTATCTGTTTATTTTTTAAAGATTTTTTTAGTTTTTGATAATTCATTTTATTATCCCCATTCATTAAAATGAGACAATAATATATTTATTAAATTTTTAATGTTAATATAAATTTATAAGTTAAATTATTCAAATATTTATGGTAAACTAATATAA